TTAAGAATCATAAAAACACAAAAATTGATTCTAAGAGCTTTCTAAACTCAGAGAAGTCTAATAAAAATATAAGATAATTTTGATAATCAAAACACTATTTTCTATTTAATTAAATCATTGAAATTGATCTAAAATTAAATAATAATAAAAATTTAATTCAAAAAATCATGAAATTTTGCCTAAGTGCTTCTCTGACCTAATGGAATCTATAATAATTTTCTCGTAAATAAAAAATTTGTTTTGGATAGTTAAATAAATCAACTTTAAAAACCCTATTTCCTGAATTTAAATAATTATTGAAATTAAATTTAAAAAAAAAACAATATCCTCCTCCGATGTTTCAATTAACTCATGGATATACCACTCTGCATGCTTAAGTCATTTGAGTTGTGTTTAATGAGTTATGAGATAAAGTACTCATAGAGCAAAATAGTCATTTTTTATTTTGGTCCTTAATCAAAATCAAGGATTAACCAAGGGAAAAAATGAGAAAATTATGATCTTAATGAACATGTTTGGATGATTGAAATACAATGAGACAAAAAAGGTAGAAACTCAAGAAACTCACTCACCACCCTTGCACAACATCAACAAGATCATAATTCTCCTAATCATCATGACTTGGAAGTCAATTAAGATCAAATGATTCTTAAGTGATGGGCTTAAGATAGAAAAGATAATAGTTTACTTATCTTGCGCCTAAGATTGATGATGATGTGAACTTTCAATAGGAATACATATCACTTAAATCAAAATTTTGATAATCACCATTCCACCTATCATGTTATAAAGGCTTAGTAGTGACATAGGCTCAATGTCTATACTCAATTGATCGAATTTAGAAGATAATATGATTGGTGATTAATATCTTTAAACACTACAAGCCTGACCTTAATTGTGAACACCACAATCTTAAATGACTTAAACTTTCCTTAGGGGCACCCACTCACATAACCTTTAAACGAAACATCAATTGATTAACCGGGTATTCTATCATCAGGATAATTAAATTGTCAAGTTTCACTGAGCAACAGGGTAGTCACACTTCAACATCGGATGATTAATAGAACAATATGATAAGTCCAAAATGAACTCGGAATATTTTAAGAGATATTCAAAATGGTCCAGGGTCATGCCTCGAGCATTTTGAAATCTATTGGACATTCTAAAGGGCTAATTGGAATTGTCATATTTTTGTTTTAAAATCATCCACTAGGATCTTCTGAGATTCAATAAAGTCATAACTTCGATTTGGTAACTAAACCTTCATCTACTCCTGTAATTTAAATTCCATGCGAAATTATATACATGTCTTGAAAGTGCTAAACTTTCAGGTGGAGGAATGAGAAAAATCGACATGTAAGCTTTTAAATAATTGCATTTACCTTTTTGTACTTCTTGCTTCGAGTTTGCATGTTAAACAACGATGTCACCCTGCATGAAAACCAAAACTATTAGGATAGTCGCACAACCAAAACTAAAACTAAAAATTCAATCAAGATAAAATTTACAGCCACAACATTCAAATAATAAAACAACTCAAAATTTAATCACAAACATCACAAAACCAAAAATTGCCATCTCTATCGGATGATCGGGAATCCCTCAGAAGAGGTAACCTACGGTTGCTAATGAGATTTTCCATGGTCTAAATGAAAGTATGGAACTCATTCAGTTGAATTTAGTAAATTCATTTGGACTCAGTGAATCCAAAGAAAATAGTGATACCGAAACGAGGGAACCGTATGATCCTAACCGGTATCGCTCTAATCAACTTTAATATGCCCCATGATATTTAAATAACCATGACCCTTAGGGACATCCGATTTGACATTATAACTTGACACATTAGATAATCTAAACTTGTCGCGACGAGGAGCTTGGAGCTAGCATTGTGGGCAGCACGGTCTTCTTTAACAGCAGAACATGTTTATATCAGCTAAACCACTCTTTATTTAGAATTAAATAACCAAGCTATATGACTTCGAGGAGATTTGCTTATGCAACATAAATCCTCAACTTTACTTTAGGCTTTTGTATAGCATTGATATATAATTTAAGCCCTAACTCGTCTTAAGATTCTGAGATTGTCGTTTGCCACGACTTAAATCCTCACATCTTCCAGGATATTTGTGTGATCGTTTCACATAAATGTAAGCTCTAATTAATAAAATTGGCAGGATGAAACATTTAAATATTTCTCTCCAAAACTGAAGTCAAACCATAGGATAGCTTGGGAAGTCACCGAGGTCCTCTGGGTCTGTGACATCCCCTAATTCTTCCTCCTTTGAATTCTACAATTAATGTTCCAAATTTGAGTCATTCCCTCTTCACACCTCTTTATCCGATCTCGTTGAAAAGTCCTATCATTTTGACCTCTTTAAAGATAATATTCTCTGATTTTTATCGAGAATTTTCTTAGGTAACTTCGGTTATCTAAGATGTAATTCACTATATGGGTTTGCCCTTATAGAAAGTTTTTCCGAACCCAGCTTAATATAAACCCTATTTAATTCTCTGTATTAAATAGAGGAATTTGTTGGCTTATAAATAAAATGGTTTTCGCAGACCAAACGAATGTCATACATTTCTTAGTTTATTTGATCGAGTCTCACTCTTAAGTCTTGTGTTTATCTTTCGGAATAGATATATGGCTTGAAGTGTAGTGCTCTTTCATTTAAACTATGAAAGATATGAGATCAGTTTGATTTCATATTATATTATATATATATATATATATAAATTAAATGTGTTTCCGAAGCGGGCGACGGGATTTTGATTCAGGCGGTCGACAGCTTCTAAAGGGCAACACTTTAAAAAAATTGTGCCAACAGGGTGCGACCTCGAACTTCGTCTAAACTGCGATTATGAGTGGCTAAGACTGCGATTATGAGTGGCTATGAACATGTTGACCCAATCATTTTCCTCTATTTTCTAGTGGTGAGCATAATCATTTAAATTCTCCTAGATGTCATCATAGCATTGATCAAGCTCCTGTCATAATGTTATAATATGTCATAACATCACGATCATTTTTTTATTTTCAAAGTTGGGGAAGAGCTATCCAAGTCTGAATAGAAATCTCGAACGGTCTACCAAATAACTCGATTAGTGGAGAAGAATAGATGTGGCTTTCCTATGGTAGGTTCCATGTTGTTGATGAGCCAAGTCATAATTAGAAAATTTTCCAATTGTCATTTTTACAAATTTAGATCACCAACGATAGGTTTTGAAATTTTTCCAGTTAAATACTCAATTTTGCCTCTCCTGTCAATCGCTCGCCAATTTTACGGATTGAGCCCACAGGAGATAGTTATGCTCGTTAAGTTTTATCACTATGAGATATGGTGGTAAGTTTTGGGTATAATACTCAACCGATACAGGTGCGGAGTGAGGTGATGTAATTTCAAAATACTGGAACCGATCGATGTAATATAATTTTTTTGAACTCCTGTCATCATTGCCGATTTGTATGACATCCTCAGAATCTGAAAAACACGGCGATCCCGATGGCACGAGCAATGCGAAACTCCTTTACGTCGTGATCCTAATCATTGTTTTCGATCAAGAATGGTGTGAAACTTTTGTACGCCGCAATCCATTCAATTCCCCGCGCGAGCAGTGCAAAACTCCTTTACATCAAGATCTTGGATGTCGCTTTCAACTTAGAATGGCGAGGAATTTTTGTACGCCACAATTCGTTCACTTACATGCGCAGTTGCTCCCTCTTTTTCCTTCGAATTCTCTCTCTGTCATCACGCTTGGGTCTTAATCACAACAATGAAACACACTAGGTCAGTCTTCTCTTTCCTATTCCATGCTTATCTTTTGCCACTCATCCCTCGCTTTCCAATCCGACCAGCTAATCTTACACGAAAAAGAGTTCATTATCAAGGGTAGTCACGCCCCTGACCATGAGGGTGTGATACTAGAAGTAATGCTTTCAAGTCGTTGGCGCACGGATTTGGACTCTTGGATTTGAAGTCTGTGCAATTCACACTCGAGCAGGCCTTTGGGGATATGGCCTATTTGTAACAGAAACCTGCACACTTGAACCCAAGGAAGGCAGAGACAGATGTGATTGAATGATCCCAACGACAGAAATACATGGAAGGCAACAGGAATCAAATCGTTAGAACACAGGGAAGGTAGTTGTGATCGAACCCAACGCAAAAATATTCAGATGGTGAATGGTAAAGGCATTCGAATAGGAAGAAGGGACTCTAATATTATGTGATTTTTAGAAAAAAAGAATTATTTCTCTTCAATTTCATAAGGAAATATTAAAAGAAAAATAAAGGGAGATGGCTCTCACATTAGAAAAATCATAAATCAGTCAAAACTCATGATAAAAAAAAGAAACAAGAATTATAACATACCAATAATAAAAGAAAATAATAAAAGATGCTAAAAAGAACTTCCTAAATACTTTCAACACTTGTGAAACTTGACAAGTTCTAGAGTAGGTATCTTAAATGGCCTGGTTGTATTATCAGAGCCAGCCTTCTTATTTTCACAATCCATTTTATAACTTTTAACTGAAAAGGCAATTACAGATTTTAAAAGTTCACATTTCTACAACTTAAGAATCGAATACCAAGTCTCAAGGAAGGAAGTTTTGGTAATTCCATGGTTGTCAAGTACAGCTTTTAGCAGCAGTTAGCAAAGAAAGCTTCTCTTGAGAAATGCAGGAAGATCATCAGCAGAAGTACACTAGACTTTATGAAACAAGTGAATAACTATTACAGCAGATAGAGATCTATCAAATAAGGTGCTAATTTTTTAGCTGATTGCATTCTCTAGAATACTTCAAACTTGGAACACTCCAACAAAACCTATGAAACTGTAATTGAAAATGTTCAACAGTTAAAGCCTAAACAATTTTACAAATAAACCACAGTAGAAACCGCAATCTAAAGTTGGAAAACTTTAAGCAATTTTTTGTTTCTCATACTGAAATCAAAGAATGCGTATGAAAGGAAACGAAAAAAAGGAAAAACCTGTAGGAAAACACCAGGTGATGATTCATTTACAATACCCCCTTTTCCAGCTAGATTAGCAGTCTTGAAAGCACTAATAACTGCAGGACGACTCTGATTTTGTAGTTAAAACAAAAAAAAAAAAGAAAATTATAAGCTAGCCTCTGATGAAAAACCATGAAAATACCAATGACCAAACAAAACTGCACTGAAAAAAACACTATCAACAGCAACAAGGATATAATAAGGCAAAATATTCCTCAAAACATACCATACCTGCCAATCTCCCTCAACTTTTTGATACTTATTTAACTTTCTAGTTGCCATTAAATTACCTAACGTAGAAGAATTCTTAGTCTTGGACACCATTTGTAGAGCTAAATGCGGATATATCATAGTTCTCAACTGTGTACTCTGATATACCTGCACCTAGCTCCATGTGTGATATCCCGGCGTAATAATTTCTAATCGAACAGAGGGTGTTAAAAATTATTCACCCTAAGGCTGCAATTATGATAGATAGTTGTGCTCCCCTTGGTGAACGGGATGTTACATAAGGAGAATTTGTAGGACAAAAATAAGTCCGTTAATCACCTTTCCAGTTGCTATTACTATGCGCACTCCTCTTGAGATTGCTTCATTTAAGGCTTCTGCTGTTTTCAGAGTAATTTGGCTTTTGCTGTTCAAAAGTGTACCTTTATTTGCAAAAATAAGGGTTGAATAATATCAAAATATTATAAAAATAATAAAATAATAATATCTCATCTTACCATCCATGTCACAGAAGATATAGCTAATTTTTTGTCTATGAGGAAGTACATCGTCTTCAATTATAATTTTATCAGCATCTGTAAAATCTTAAACTACAAGGCCTTCATATAGCAACACAGATTTCAATGATCTGAATAAGGATGCATGAAAGGGAAATGTTTATAACAAAAGGCCTGCATGGCAATACTTACAATCTAAATCCTGTGTCTGGTGGTTTCCGTTGGTGATGGAATCATATGTACTCTTAATTAGGCCCTTTCCTTTCCATCCAAGGGTACTCAAAACCAATTCTTCTTCTTTCTCCATCTCCTCCTCTGCTACATCACTGATTTCATGATTGAACCCCAAAAGATGCAATAAGCCATGAACCTTATTTCATCAAAAGACGAAGTCATTTATGTAAGTAAAACTTCTATGCAAAAGAACATTTAAAGGACAAGGTATGTTAAAATAATTGAATTAAATTGTCACACAAATGCATGTCATCCATGCCGAAAAACTTGGAGTTTTAACATAAACATGCATCATTTTAGCCCAAATTATAAGTATACCCCATCAATATTTTTAAAGGTAAAATGAAATACATCAATTACTACTCAACAAAAATGAACATAGATGGAAGGTTCATAAAGGCAATCCTAAATAGTATTGGGATAACTAATGATGATGTCCATGAAGTTCCTATATCCATTTTGTGTCATGAGTTCTAAGTTCACATGTGAAGATTACATGCTTATACAATAATCAATAACACTTCAAAATGTTATATATCAGAATTGATCACATCAACTATATTTCTATATTGACATTTGCAAAAAGAATCAAAGATAAAAATGGGGTTTTATAATTGAACAGAAATTTAAACTTTCATTAAATCAAATGTAGTAGTGTGTAATTTTATCAATTGCACAGAATTAAAGCCACAGTAAGCAAAAAAACAAAAAAGAAATACATGTTAATAGAAAAATTCATGACGAAAAAAAGAAAAAAAACATAGCACGTGTTTATTTATAGTCCCGAAAAGTGCTAATCAAGCAAAGCAAAAGAAATGATACAAAAATATCGAAGCAGCTAACACGCATACCATGAGGATCCGTACTTCATCAAGAAGGGAGTGACCTCTCTCTTCTGCTTGTCTGACGGCAGTTTCAACAGAAATTACAATATCACCTAACATTAGCTGTAGAAAGAAGAGTAAATATTACAAATAGATAGCTAAGCTCCCAAATCATAAAGCAGAAAGCTATGCTCCCTAATTATAAAGTACTTGAGCTGAAAGACAACTTACAACAGGAAGATCAATTTCAGGAATGTGCTGTGACATGGATAGAACATCCGTAGCATGATCTTCATCTCTCCATTCTTTATTAAGCTTTTGAATAAAGTCATCATTGCAAAGCAACAAAGATGCCTCCACTGTTTCAAATTTACCAATATTATTTATGGAGACGTCTCTGGTTGGAAAATTTTCAACATCAAGATGACTGAAGACGAGTGCCATGGCCATGGGGACATCCAATTTTAGTAACTCGGCAATGTTCTGCATAATTCCAAATAGAAATGATAAAATTAAAGTTAACAGAAAAGCTATTTATGACACTGAAATAATAGGAAGCAATATGCTTGAACAGTTAATGAGATTATTGTTCAGTCATTCATCTATATCAGGTTAACCAAATATAAATGAAAGTTTAAACTAAGTTCAACATGTAGAAAATTGTGAACTAATTTGAACCGCTTTCAACTTGGAATGTATCATACTTTAAGAAACTCGTCAAGTTATCCTAGAATCAATCTTACTCGGTCCTCAGTACTAAACAAATTGACTAGCCAAGAGTTCACAAAGTTGCCTGCTCATCAATATTATTTGCCCAAAAGTTCAATCTTACTTGGTCCATCACTCATCAAGAGGAAACATCCACAATTCAAAACCTGCTCCATGTTCCTAATAACCAACTATGAGCTAGACTTATAAGCCATACAGATAGCTACGTCAAACACAGACCATTATTTTCTATGTAATCATATTATGTAGCTAATTTGCATCGCCAAACTTGGCCTTCCCCTGTGAATAAGCAATCACTTGTTGAGAGCAAACATCGGGCAATCTTGAAATTTTAGATGAAACTGTCCCACTGAAGTCTCTCACTCTTCCTAAGATTCTCCAAAGAATCTCTCTGTCATACACAAGCACAATCATGTCTGTAAATTGGCTTGAATGACTAAAGAAGAACATCATGCAAAAAATGACTATGGCCCGGCTAACAGAACAAGATCGAGAGCTTAAGATGAGAGAAAGGATTAACAAAATCATAACATCAAGATCAACGATCAAGAGAAATTTATCCAGCATGAAAAAAAGAATCAGTCTATTTATGGAAAGTCCATTTTGAACAGTTTTTGCATATAAAATCTTTTTTTTTCCTTAAGGGAGGCTTCTAATTCATTTGCTTCACCAATTTTTTATTACAGTTATTTTATTTTAAGTCTATTAGGACCGCCCATTGATCTAATGAGAACTTTGAGTTTGATTTCACTATACTTCCATTATTTACTTTTTCCCTTTTATATTTCCTTCCTTTTGTTATTTTTTCTCTTTAAATATTATGTAATGTTTCAAATATTTCCTTTGAGGAATTAGAAAATAAGAACAGTGTTATGTTGAGAAATAACATGGAGGTTGAAATCTCTGGGGTTTTAGGCACTTGTGGTTGAAATCCCCATAGTTGTGTGCTTGGTGGCCAATCTCTTTGGGCATTTCTTGATAGAAGACTTACGCAACTTTCTTAATATTGCTGATATCTCTCCCCAACCTCGCATAGTCTTTCCACAACATTTCTAGCCTTTCTCGACAAGTTTTCCCCAGCTTCTACAGCAAATTTATTTAAGCCTCCTATAAGTGATAGGCTAAATAATAGGACAATTCTAAATTTGACCACCATCAATACTCCTTAGATCCTAACCAAAAACTTCAAATAAAATCTTCAGATATCCTCATAACTATGTCAAGCCTCTCCAACCTCCAAAGGCACAATTAAACCTAGCCCCCAATCACGATTCCAAACTCGCCAAAACTAAGCACCAAAAGCTAGTCTTGGTGTAGCCTCTACAAAACAACATTAACTTGTTGGATGACTTCCAAAAACTCCAGAACACATCTTCTAACCTTCCATCATAACCTTCAAAAGAATTCATGCTCTAAAGCCAACTTCCATACAAAGGTACTAAAGGTAAAATTGATAATCCTATGACTCGTTTGACATAAACCTTTTGTTTTATTAGCCTAGACACCGCATAAAACTTCTCCATGCTCCTAGAGGTCTTCCACACACCATTAGCCACCCACCATAGCAAACTTTGGATCCATACTTCCAAAGCTAGGTCAGTAACCCTTCTCTATTTAAAGCCTTAATAGGATCCTTTGTAGATCAATTTACTTGAAAGAATCTTTGGAACTTGAATTCTCTCTATTTTCATTTGTTCTCTATGCTTGATTCATATTTATAACAAGTCACCGTATCATTCTTCAAGTAACATTATATGTAATACCCCCTTAAGTGCAGAGAGCACGAAAATGTCAAAGACAAAACGTTTAAATTATGAGGCATCCTAAAGACAGACCACACGTTTTGCCCAGTCAACTCAATAACATGAAACACTCATCTCTCCAGGAAACCCATGTCGCCTCAACCCAAATAATGTTGCCTTGGCTTTTCTGAAAATGAAACACACCTCTAAAGAATAATATAGTGAAAGCTCATTGCCCTCATTGCCAACTAAAATTTCAAGCTCAGCTACAAACACTATTCATTAGATGTTGTAGGGCTTCAGCAATTGAAAAAAATTCAAAATGATCAAGATGGGTTCCTATGAGGGAAAGTTAGAACCAATTGACCACATCACTCAACTTTGTGTCTCACTTGTAATAAGAAATGCTAGACTTCTAAGACTTCTAACCAACAGTCGCTCACACAAAACTCACTCCAAATCATCGAGGTCATTTCCACCATGTCCTCCACTTGCAGTATCCATATACATTAGTTGAGTTGCTCAAATATGCTAAAATTACATCAATTCGTGGGAATTTAATTATCTGGCTTTGGCCTTAACTTTTAAGAAGAATTATTTTGGAGCAACTCACACAATACAATGTATGTCAACTTAAAAACTATACCAACAATACTGCAGAAGCACAAAAAGACCCACTCAAGAAGCAAGAAATAGACTTGCAAAAACGTGAGATTGAGAGGTTACATTTGCCATTCAGATATATGATGTACATCCCACTTTGAATGTCGCTAGTAGAGATTGTTATGTCACCCATCACCATTGTGCACAAGTCAAAATGCCTACGAGCCCACCAAAATATTACGTCTCTCTTAAAACCCCCGTTAGCATATAATGGAGGACTACCGCCACCAACATGGACCAATGTCGAGGATAAGGGCACAATGACCCCCAGAAAGCAACCCTCCACAGTGGTCATCTCAGCCTCTTGTTTACATTGATATTACTAGAGAAAGACTTGGGTTACAAAGCATATCTCTATGCATCTTTTCTTGCTTGAGAAAAATGTGAACAAATTCTAAACGAATTAAAATAAGACAAAAATCTATACAATTGCAATGAGATAGATAGGCAAATCGCCTATAGCAGGTATATGATCTTCAAGATTGTATAAAAATGGAATGGAACAAAACTCCACTTCAAAAGAGATTTAACTTTATTCTCAACATGAGAAAATCTCAATTAATTATTGTTATTACAAAGCAGCGATGATATGCTTCCCTTATATTCCAAACTCTAAAAAAATGTCATTCCTTTATTCTCATAAAAAATTGTAATAATCAAAATCACTTTATGGTTTTATAGATGTTTGAACTATTTTGACAAAGATTTAATCATACTTCAATATTTGATTAAAGAGACCTATGTCAATGCATCAATCTTTTTTTTTCATTTATCACAAAAAAGAATTTTGAGAAAGTAAATGATAAGGTGCTGAATATTCTTTGCAGATATACAAATTGCTTAGATTTGAGTAAGGTTAGTTGAAATCAACCATGATTACTTAAACCAAAAAATTGTTTAGAGAGAGCTTGTTTTTATGTTGATGGCCACATATTAATACAATAATAAGCTTTTATACCACCAAGTTGGGTTGGCGGTTCTCCACTGTGTCCTATTGAGTGTCATGTTTTCATTTAATTCTAATAAATTAAGATCATTTTTTATACAATATATCCACGTCTTTTTAGGTCAACCTCTGCCTTTCTTAACACATCTACTCTCTTAACGGAATCATCAGATGGTCAGCATTTAATTTAACCAAACCATCTAAGACGACTCTCTCTAATCTTGTCTGTAATTGGAGATACAACAACCCTTTCACGAATGGATTCATTTCACATTTTATCTCTAAGTATTAAGCCACTCATCCACCTAAGCATTCTCATCTCAGCAACACTAAACTTTGTTTCATGATTCTCTTTTAAAGGCCAACATTCTGCTGCATAAAGCATTACATGTCTCACCACGTCTTATAAAATTATTCTTTAAGTCTAAGCGATACTTGTCTATCACACAATAGGCCTGAAGCACTCCACCACTTCAACCAACTAACTTGAATTCTACTAATAACATCCCCATCTATACCAACATCACTTTGAACAATAGACTTGAGATATCTAAGACATTCGCACCTTTTAATAATTTGATCATCCATAGTTACAGCTCTACCAGTAAAGATACTACTACTAAAATTACATTCCATGTATTCAGTATTAGAACTACTCAACTGAAAGCCTTTAGACTCCAATGTAGACCTCCATAATTCAAGTTTTTCCTGAAATCCTTTTCTAGTCTTATCCACAAGAAGGATATCATTAACGAAAAGCACACACCAAGGTACATCCTCCTGTATATGTCCCGGAAGAGCATCCAAAACTAAAGTAAAAGGTGTGGGCTTAAAGCCTATCCCTGATGTAATCCAACTTAAATGGGAAAATACTTGGTCAAATCTCCTTCTGTTCGAACACAAGTAACAGCTCAAGCATACATATCTTTAATGACTTGAATATAAGGCATATCAATACATTTCTTTGTTAGAACTCTCCAAAGAACTTCTCTTGAAATATTAAAAATCATATGTAGATCTTCCTTACTCTTAGTGCACTTCTCCATCAAACCTCTCAATAAATGTATAGCGACCATAATAGAGTTTTCCGGCATAAATCCAAACTAATTATGAAAAATCATTATATCACAACTTAAACTATATTCAATTACCCTCTCCCAAAATTTTAAAGTATGACATACAAATTAATGTGAAATAAAAATTGAACATATTAAATCTACAATTATTTCAAATAACGAATTAACAATCCCTAAAAGTCAATGACAACCTGCCAAAATTATTTTGGTCTATCAATAAAAATTATATTTGGTAAATTCAAACACAAATGATTATTATAAATAATTTAAAATTTACCCAATATCTCAATCCCCAGTAAAACAAATGAAGAAACCTTACTTATGTTG